CTCAACAGTGCAGTGAAATTAACTGATGTGCAGGTGCCGTGTTCATTAACCGGGCAAGAGCGGCTGGTCACACTTAAGCGCGTCATGATTTGATTTTTTTCCCCACGCATTGTTTGCAAATGAAAACCACCTTGAAAGTAACACTTGAGCTGTTTTTTTTTGGTTACAATGTGCTGAACAGTCTTTGCTTTGGTTCAAACGCTAAGTTAAGATGTCACAGTTCTGTGGGTCATGCTGTTGGTATGCACCCCCAGCCCCGACCCCCTCCCATGTAATGTGTTCATTGTTTCCCCGCCAGTGTTTAGTAACACAATTTTTTTTGTTGTTGCGCACCTGAGTCATGCTTTACAACTATGCAGCTAGTCATTAAGATTGCTTTATAATTAGTCTCTCTCTCTTCCTCTTCCTGCTCCCCTCTCATGTAGGTAATCAAAGAACTTTGGACGTTTGTACAGACACTGAAGTCTGGGAAGAAATAATCAAACTATAGCCCTTCGAGTGAAGATGTAATGTCATCCTGTTTTTTGTTTTAATTTCTTTATCTTTTTTAGTGCCCCATGAGTCAGAAATAGACTGGTTAGTCACCTGTGAGATTAATAAGCCCCTTGACGTTCGGTTTATGTTGCATCTGATGGAAATTCTCTTCTCTGAAGTGTATTTGACAAGCAGTAAGCTAAGGATACTTTTTAAAAATATGAATTCCTGGTTTAACACGGTCCTGGTTTAAACTTTATACTGCCGATGGAGTGTTTGCATGTTTTTTTCAGTCATGATCAGCTTTATTTTAAACTGAGCATTCAGACTCACGAATTCAGGTTGAAGACTATTGCTGATAGTCCTTTGTGTTCGAGCTGTGTTTGAATTTCAGCAGTATGCCCTCTGTTAGCTGTTTTAAAATGCTTTTTGTGACTGACTGTCTACCATTTGTAACCCCGAGTTGGTCTTTGTTGCAGAGGCAGTTCAGCACCAGGCTCTGATGCATTTTGTGTACTTTTTGAGATTTTTGAGGGCAGTCGGTGGAACTCTGTTGCTTAATTTTTTGTCTCTTGTCCTTTCGAAATACATTTTTGCTTTTACTGTTTCACTTAAATGCGATACTAATAAGTTTGCTACTCTTTGCTATATTTTAAAATCATTTTTATGGTCCAATCCTGAAATTGAAATTTCTTAGAGCCTTTATGTTTCACTGATCGTTTTTTCCTGTCTATCTGACATTTCCTCCTTTTAGTTTATAGACAAAAGGTGTTTGAATAGCTGTAAGAAAATGCTAAAACATTTTGAACATCGGTGAGCAGATTATCCTGATTTGAGTCCCGGAAGCCGTCCACTCCTTTGTGACCCTTGAAAATTCATTGTTCAGATTACTGAAAAACTTGCTTCTCAGTGAAAATGGGTCTCCTTTGATTCTGGGGGCTGAAGCCTTAATTAAGATTGTAATTTTCATTTTAGATGAGGATTTTTTTTTTTTATTATTTCTTTTTAAGTATCTTAGTCCATTGACCTACAACAGTGTGTTTCAGTCATGGATATGGATATCACTGTATTACTGATATATGAACCATTATATTTTGTGTTGTTGATTGTGGGACAGAAAAGAAATCCATCCTTTTTTTTTTTTAAGATCTCCGTTAAAATAAACGTAATAAAATGTATTTTCATCCTTGTTTTGTTTTCCTGCCTGTTGTGTTCTCTGCAAACAATAAGACACCCCTCACAAGATGGTAATGAAACCACAGACCCCCCCAGCTTAAGAACGCCCGACTTGCAGACAACTCGCGCTCCCAAAGGACTACCATACAGCCTATTGTATAAAACATTTCACAATGGTTTATAATAATGAATGCAGAGTCTACTTTGTGACGCTCATGAAAACATTTGTGGCTTTAGCCGTTCATTAGCTCGAGGTACAGTACAGCAGGCAGTTACATTTTTATTGTTACTATATAGTTCTTATCATTATGTCCTGTGTTATTTTCCGACTTGCCTACAAGTTCGACTTAGAGATATTTAGGCAACGGATCTTGTTTGTAACCTGGGGGACTGCCTGTACTGCAGGGGTGGAGTCCTGAGTGAATATAGAGAATCTAACAAATAAATGCCCACAACTGAGGTGACCGGTCACAAACTCCCTTGAAGGTAGGATCTGTTTGTATATCCATTATACACCTCGCTTGCGACATAAATTAGCCCTCGTGTCTATGTATACGTCCGCAGAGCTGACATCAGGTATTTCCCACATCTATTTACTCGATGATGCAAATTAAACATTCGCTGTGTAATTTTAGGGTTCTGGATTCTCTAGTGATGCCACTTTCCAAATTGTAGGGGTAGCCTAGCTTGGCCGAGGGGATGTAGACAGTCTCAAGGAGCCTTGGGACGTATAATTTCGTTGTCATTTGAAGATGGGTGACAGTGCATTTGGTGCTACAACAACAAGCACGTAATTGTGAGAGAAGAGAGATTTTAATGGGATATGATACATACGGCTGTGTTAAGGAATCCCAGCAGTTCATTGGAGGAAAAAAATCGAGACTCATTCTCTTACCCAATCGTGAGAAATCAGGGGAGTGGTTTCTTCGTTCAAAACATGCTTCTGAATGTGGAGGAGGAGGAAATATTTATTTCTCAGCTTCTCGTTGCACACCTGTGAGAGTGGCGCTATGGGGTTAAGGTGATAAGTGGTAGTTATGAAAACACCATGTTAATACAGAGGACGCATGTAAAGAACTGAAACTGAGCTGCGAGTTAATTCTGCAGGTGTTGAATCGTCTTCAACACGGGAGGATTTGGTTCTGCTTAGAATTAACAAGATAATATGGAATCGGAAATGTCTAACTAACATACCGTAATGGTTCTGAAATTATGCATGTGTTGTATATTACGTACCCTGTGGTACCGATTTTACCAGTTGACACGAGCTAGAGGCAGATGAGGAATTTTTATTTCTGCAGGAAAATTAAGTAATTCCCTAATACTCCTGACAATTTTTAAAGCTCAGTTTCATTAACTTACTAATTGGCCACTGGGTGGCAGTAATAATCAACTCATCTTGAAGAAAAGACTCTGGGATCAAGTTCTAGCAACCTGACGGTGTTGCCTAGCGTTTCAGTTGTCCCTTCGTGGCATTGTTGTAAAGTGAATAAGGCAACGCACTCTGACACGCTCTGTCCACGTGTAAGAAAAGCTCAGCGTTTAATCATTTATGATAATCTGATTTGTGACTTTTGAAACTGGGAGAGTCAAGCTTAGGGGTCAATGTTACATCCCAAGTGAAGCATCACCTCAGCTCTCCTATCCATCAGCCTGGGCTTTTGGGAGAATTATACAAGGAATCTAGAAAAAAAATGAACTTTTTTTTTTGTCAGTCATGATAACCGGCCTGTTTTTTTGGCAACCCCCCCCCCCCCCCCCCCCCCCCCCCCCCCCCCCTTCCATTTAGAACAGGGGTGGCCAGTCTTATACGCAAAGGGCCGCTGTGTGTGCAGGTTTTTCGGATAACCTGTAGGTCAGCTGTTCAAACCCAGGTGTGAGGACTCTTCAGCCAATCAGTCCTCTAATTAGTAATCTAATTAGGGAGTTGCAGCGAGAACCCGCACACACAGCGGCCCTTTGCGGATAAGATTAGCCACCCCTGACTTAGAGGGAACACCCCAGGAGTGGAGTGAATCACACAAGTTAAAGGCAGCCCTTCAAAAAACACAGACTGTCAGAGAGCTGAAGTGCTGTGGGTCCAGTGTGAGAATCTCCCAAGTTCCAAGTCTATGTCTGGACTGAGAACTAAATGCACCATCATAATTTCATCAAATCATAGGTGTCGTGCAAATATCACTTATGGGGACGATATATATTTATCGTCGTATGACTATTGTTTATCTGGCTAGCCAACGCCCTTATCAAGGCTGCCTTATGGTCTTAACAATTTTACGTCACGCAAACTCCAACAGCGCACCATGCAGCTCATTATGCAGATCCAGATAAATGCCTTTCCCAGCATGCAGTTCTGCTTTCGACTGGCTAGCTCATCGGTGGGGCAGCCTGAGTGGCTGCGGAGGCTGTCAGCGCTCCAGGAGACACCCCCCCGCCCAGCAGGGCAGGTATTCACACCGCCAGGGCCATTGTACCCCACCTGAATGAGATTTAACTGCAGGCACGTAAAATGACAGTGTACGGGTTTGTGGAAATTCACGTTTATGTACGGTTCATGTGTGTCCAAACATCTCATGTAAGTCACCGGGCTAAAGATGAATGAAAAACGAATGGCTGCGAAGCACACACACGAATATCCTTGACCTGTCTTTGCTATTTTTTTTCTTCTTTTTTTAACTCTCCCTGATGGAATGGATAGCATCGTGCAGACTTCTTAAGTGTCTCTGTAAAATGTGCCTTGAACATTCCTGCGAGTCCCTGTTCTTTCACAGAAGCTGAAGCAGCTGTGGTCTTCGTCCCTCTTAAATTCCTATCGTGTCTTTGCAGAATAATCACTATATTAGTCATGTGCATGAGAGTCTGTTTTTTTCCACTTGTGAGCGGGATACTATGCCATCTTTTGCTCCGTGGCCCCTAGATGAAAAAGGGGACTTTTCGGTGCAGATGGGACCACATGCAACATAGCACGGTAAAGCTTGCACAAAATGTTCCCCGCGTTTCCCGGAGCCAAAACGCCATTCTCAAATATCACCATCTTATGAGAATGTAGGGCATTTTTTTAATTCTTCCGTGTTCTTGGTCTCTTGTCAGGGGCATTCCGGGGGCTGGTGCTTTATCCAGGTAAATGCTTCAGAATAAATGGCACACTGTTGCTGCGGCAGGTCAAGTTTCAAGTCTAATTTGTCACGTACAAGCCGTACACAAGGCGTACTCGTCACGGCGAAATGCCTCCCCTCTCTGAATGATGCAAATGCAAAATAAAGAAGATATACCGTGGAAATGTGATCAGGAATACAAATAAAAAGCTAGCTATTCAATGGAAAAGCTAATGCAAGAAGAGAGAATTGTAACAATTATCGTAATCATAATACTTCTAGGGTAATAGAATTTGAAAAACTGGATAGAGACACTCTACAGAGGCCAGTCACATGCAGTATGATAGCTAGACTTTTGCTGCAGTGTTTGTGCAGTTGTAGTGCAATTATGTGCAATGGTAGCTAAAGCAAGAGCCATATAGTTTGGTGTCTATTATCCATCGCTGATTACTCTGATCGTATTTGGCAGTCCGAGCCCTGACATTCCCGTGTGTCCTGCACTGCATGTATCACGAACTGACGGACAGCAGCGTCTCCCGCGGTTCCATGGGCTCTCCGCCAGCACTGCTTTTCAGAGATGGCACTGCTTTTCAGAGATGATTTTCATAGTTTCCCCCAGTAGCTGTTGGAAAACAAAGGCTGTCCTGGCCTTCGTCATGAGCCTCTCGCGGTGACGGACTCAGCGAGACGAGTCGCTTTATCACGCGCTGGCCAATGGCAGCCGTGTTTCATCGTCCGAGGGAACAAGCCGACGTTGCCCATATACAGTCAGATTCCCCAAATCGACGTGTCATGTCAGGCATTTACGGAAAGTCTCGGAAATGGTCGGCACCAATAAGCTGGCCTGGGGGAAAATAGCGATCATATTGGTATGTTTATTTTACACATAGAGGAAGCCAAGATTTGTCAGCAAATTACTCACAGGTAACTGCCTTATTAATGCCTTGCATTTTTTCCCCCATCAAATTCATTGAGCATATTTGGTCTTCAAAACAATCCTCCTTATGAAAGAACTTTATAAACAATTTAAGGAACTTTATTATTCCCAAAATGAAAGGGCGGGACTTTTTGCGGCGGTGAGAGAAATGAGAGGGAATTTTTTTTAATAGCCTCACTAGGCAGACATTCGATACGAGAGCTCAGTTGAGAGAGGGTTAGTCATCTCTTCTCGTAAGCATCCTGAACTGGTAAATAGGAGGGAGGCAGTGCTGAGGACCAGCGGCGGCAGTAGTGAGGAAGCGGGAGGGGCGCCCCCGCAGACATGCGGCGACACGCGGGGCCCATTACCTTCGTGGCTAGCTATGGCAAGGATGAGTGCTGCATACCTCGACCCATAAACAAACTCTTCCCAACGCTGGGGTTTCGTGTTCAGGTGAGAGGTGTCACAGGAGCCGGCAATTTGCGCCCGTGCACTGTTATTACCGTTCAGTTATCATTTCACGGCTGCTGTCGGCCAGACACGGCCGGCTAGTCTATAACCGTGGAAACTTTTCACTCCGTGGCACAAGTCTACCTCACCATCTGTTTATAAATGCTCTGTGTCAGAGTGTAGACCACCCGGCTGTGATCATTGTTTGTCATTTTCTCTGATCATTGTTTGTCGTTTACACTCATTACGCATTTACGAATGTTCCTGTTAGCTAAAGACAGCTGGGGTTAAGTGTCAATGATCTGTAAGCAAACAGACAAACATAGGACAGTCAGTAGTGTCAAGGTTAGGCATCTAGACTGGAATCCAAGAGTTTGAAACACGAGTTAATATGGCCGTTCTGTCTATAGGTATTCATGGTTCATGTTGCCAACTATGGTCGGGTTATTGGAAATACCCGTCAAGACAGCCTGGGATTTTTCCCCCCCAAAAAAAGCAGTATCCTTTGATCTGGCAAATTTAGTCGGGTGAGTCCAACAAAGCCACATCTATA